TTTTTGTCTTTTCATGGCTTCCTTGATTTCTTGGATGTTTTGTGACAGGAATTTTTAGATTTAACATTTCTTTTGACAGATGCATCAGTTTCTTTCATTGTATCTTCTATACCTGAGATTCTTTATTCCATCTCTTGTATTCTGTTGGAGACGCTTGCCTCTGAGTTCCTGTTTTCTTCTTTAAGTTCTCTCTTTTCACGATTGTCTCAGTTTGTGCTTTTTGTTTTTTATTATTTCCATCTTCAGATCTTGAACCATTTTATTGATTTTCTTTATCTGATTTTTTGCATTTTCCCATATTTTTTTGGGTGATTTGTTCATTTCTTTTCTACAGGCCTCTCTAATGTCCTCAATCTGCTTGACTTCATCTTCCCATATTTCTTTACAGACTTTATTCATTTCTTCTGTTATCGTCTATCTATAAGCATAGATTTTCTTGTGTTTCAGTTGTGTTAGGGTATCTAGGGTGCTTGCCTTTGGATAACTGGGTTGTGGCGATGCCATATTGCTTTGGCTTTTGTTGACTGTGTTTTTACACTGGCCTTTAGCCATCTGGTTGTCTCTGGCATTGTCTGGTAACTTCTCATGCTAGCTGAAGTCCTTTGGGCAGCGGGGTGGGGTTGGGGCGGCAGGAAGTTGGATGTTCTTGTAGAAGTACTCTGTAGTTCAGTGGGTTGAGTTTCCGACTGCGGGGGGGGTGGATCTCAGGGAATTGTCTTATCTTTCCTCAGGTATATTATCCTGTGGATTAATTGGACTCCTCAGGAGCACACGGGCTCTCCTTTCACCAGGGGAAGTCCTAGGAACAGTTGCCCTGTCCCTGGCTCTCTTGCTCTGAGGTTAATGAGGTACAGCTGCCCAGAGACTGTGTTTGCTTGGAGAACCATGGAGCCCAGAGGGTTGGTTGGTCTCCCCAGGGAGATGGGTTCAATTTTGGAGCATTGTATGGAGCTGTTTCCATGGCTCCTGGGTGTCAGGAGGCCTGAGGTTGAAGCTGTGTGTCCTGGTACTGCGAGCACAGCTCTCAGGCCTGTTGCTAGGCACTGGAGACTGAGTGCTGTCGGGAACATGGGTACTTTTCTGGGGATTAGTCGGGTAACATTCCTTAGTACCCAGTTGTTTCCCTCACAGTGGGGTTTTTCTCCTGACTGGGAGACCCAGTCTCTGGGGTTTTGGTGCCAACAGTTTAGTCTGGGGTGGTGAGCCCAGTGTGCAGGCCTGTGGTTAGGTGCTGGCGACCATCTAGACTATCTGCTGGAACCCAGAAACCTTTTTGGGGATTAGCTGAGTGACCTGAGGTTAGACTCGATTGTTTCCTTCACCACGGGGGTTTTTCTCACCTGGGAAACACAGTTGCTGGTGTTTTGGGGCCCACAGTTCTGTCTGTTGGTCAATGTGCAGTCACGGCTGATCAGACACAGATTGTAATCAGCGCTGCCATCTTGGATCTCTCCTCACGTATATTTTCAAATAACATTTTGAAGTAACATATGGAGATGCATATTGCTTAGGGTATCAAGGCAGCTCCTGTCCCTGCCTCCTGCTGCCTGTGTCCTATTACTGCTGTCGCTAATTCATCAACATGTGTAAGCACATTTTCCTTACAAGGGCATGTAAAACACATGCAACCGATACCTTGTTATTACTATTTTGAACAAAACATCACGGATTAAGTTAATTGAAAGCAAAAACCAATTTAAATATTCACTTATGTTCACCTGTGGCTTTCTACTGTTTTCTTTTGGGTCTGAGGCTTGGCCAACATCTCCCTTAATGTCCCGAGGAAAAGCTTCTAACTCCCCTCTCAAGCCTACTGGAGAGAATTTTGCTGAATTTGAATTTCTTTGAAAATTTGCTTATTATTCAATAACTTTTAGAGGGAACTTACACATGGCACCCAGATCCAGCCTGTACCTTTCCCTGCACTTGTTGAATGCTTCACTTCTTTTTCTCAGTGTGCACATGGTTGCTGAGCCGAAGCCAGATCTAATCCTTTCTTATCTATGGGCAAACTGTTTCCCACTGTCTTCTTTGGGGATTATTTTTCTATATAAGCTTTGAATATTATATACCAAGGCCCACTTTTGTGGACCAACAAGCTGTGTTCCCTACAGCACTGAGGCACAATGTAAATTCGTGGTCTTTGCCTATAAAGAGTTCCCTCATTTTCTTCCTGGTCACAATAAGACTAGACTAAGCCATTTGAAGTCAGACAAAAATGGTTCTCTCCCTGTATCTTCAAAATATAGCTCAGTACTCATGTGCTTGACCCTTAGAGGCAGACACTGAATGTATGGATAAATGAACAGCAACCTATAATTAAACTTACTTAATATCACAAAACACTGGACCATTCAGTAGAAGAAACTGAGTAGATGCTTTGTGTGTTTAGAGCCCAGGAGAGTTCAGTATCTTGACTGTGGCTTTCCTGGTGTTTCACCCTGAGCTGTCCCATTGTTTTGGTATCAGTCTGTGACTGGGAAGTCAGAGATTTGGGGGGAGTCATGTTATCACGGTTTATTGACTCTTCCTGTGTTCAGGAAACAAAGGCTTTCCTGCTTAGTTTGCTGATGTTGTGTAGATAGAACCCAAGACAGTCCCCACCTTCGCCTGCTAAGCCTTTGCAATTCCAGTGGCCGACCACTCAGATAGAATACGTCCTGTTGCGAGAATCTTCTATCATTACAGAGTACCTGTGCGGCTTCTTGAATGACACAGATTTGTGACATTGTTTCCACCTCTTATTTCATCTTATTTCCACCTGACACTCTTTTTCATTTCCTTTGTGTGCAGGAATGTCCCTCCATCTGGCACCTGGCTTGTAACCACATTTCCGTCTAGGATCCTCATAAAAAGTGCTGATTTTTCCTATCATTTAAAACTCACCACTACTGAACCTGTCTGTCATACTCTGCAATTTGAAGCGTTTACTCTAAAGCCAATGTCATTGTGCTTGAACGCAGGTTGTGTATTCCAATTCTTTCCCCTACTAGCTGAGGATCACAAGCATGCCAGTTAATGTTTCCGAATCTCAGTTACAATTAACAGAGTACCGTGGGGAGAGTAAGGGTACCTATTTCCTGACTTTTAAACAAAAATCGAATGAAACAACAAACTGCCTATTCCAGTGCTCAATACCTGTTGCTTTGCTTGCTGTTGTGGCCATTATAGTTGCTGTAGTTAAATTAGTTAGTTCTAAGGAATAGATTATGAACTCTAAGAACCCTGTGATCCCATAGAAAACATTCTTTATTCTTGATATCTCATGAACATATGAGGTTTAATAAATATGTTTAGTGTCAGTGTGTGAAAGGTGGAAAGTGAATTAGTTAATGCACTACATTCTAATTCCAGATGCTTTCCTTAATAAAGGAGATATGTTCCATTCATTAGTACAGTGATCTACCGTTACACACAATTCATTTAGTCAAATACTATGAAAGATTGTTCAGATCTGTGAAACCGAAAATATTCTTCATAAAGTCTGTGTTTTAACTGTATACAGACTAAGAGAGATTAATTTCAGGTTAGGATCATCTAAACAACTACCCTTAAAAAATAACTACTGGCATTTTAATGAAATGTTATTTTTACAGCTTTAAAGATCATAGCAATATAATTAGTAATATGTGTAATCTTTATTACCAGTCTTAATCTTTTTATATGGCTGAAAAATTATTTTATGGTAGTACAATTAAAATAATGCTAAAAATGTCAGCATAACAGAATTAGAATAAAGTAACTGCTACAGTTTTGTACCCCAAACCAGTTAATTTAAATGCAAAATACTTTCTACAGGCTATTTATCTGAACTAATACATGGTAAGGGATTTAAGGAGTAGTTTGTGTAATGAAATAAAAAGAAAAATAAGCACTGTACAGCAATCTTTGCTATTGTTTAACATGAGGGAAAATTAAATAGGTTTATATATAGGCCACTTGAGGAAAATGTATTAAAAGCCACATCACAGCATAGTAAATATAAAGGCAACTGGAAGGCAAGGCTCCATTTTATAGGTCTTTATAAATACTCCATTTGCAGGTTTTTAAAGGGAAGCCAGAGGTGCTTAAAGCTGTCCTTTCTATTTTTTATTTTTATTTTTTAATAAATGATGGTGTGATATTAACTATGACAACCAAACTGTGTATTCCCAGAATTCTTCTGTTAAATTTGTTCTGTGCCATTCTCACACCCGTGCTTTCGTTTTGTGTTGGGACGCAGAGTGTGTAACCAGGGCCATCTGTGTGGTGCGGATGCCCAGACTTGTAATGGCGTATTTTGTAAAAGGGCTTTCAAAAGACAGTTGTTTAGCTGGCACACAGCACACAAGAATAGACATTTTTCACAGTGCTTTTTCAACCTGTTGATTCATGATAATGCTTGCCATTATGTTCTCATTATTTGTTAGAACTTACAAAAAAGTTATAAAAAAATTATAAGACAAAACTCTGCTCAGAATAAAAACACTGGAAAACACAGGAAAAGGGAAAAAGAAATCATCCAATATTTTACCACTATTATACTGTCATACTTTAACAGTATGTGTACTTCTAATTTCTGCTTCCTTGCAGATGCTTTTTAGGTTTTCTTAATAAGATGTTTTATTGTACATAAGAACCCGGTTTATTATATATATATATATATATATAATTTTTATTATATAAAGACCACATGTTGTTGAATGTGCTTGATTTCCTTGTGCCATTTTAAGACTTCTTTATTTATAGATACTCATATAATCTCAGTGTTTTCATATTTATTTATAATTGTTATAGATATTCACTTTTCAAGCCTGGCTAACACTACATTTTTTAAATCAAATTTTAACTGCTTTCTTAAAGTTGTCAGACCATTAAAATCCTGTCGCCTTAGGACAGACACATCAATGTAACCCAAAAGAATTTGGATTACAGCTGACTTAGAGGTCTGATTCCTTTGCTGTAAAAACTGATTTACTTGTGGTGTCCCTCATCTCATTTATTTGTTTTTGAATCTGTAGGTCCAGGCACACCTAGAGACATCTACAAGGCCTCAACTATCAAAGGTCCAGAGACAGCAAGTAACACCTTTCATGACCCTTGACCATCAGGTACTCAACCAGACTCTCAAGAGAACACAACCTGTGGCACCAAGCTGTATGCCTCTGGCAGAGCATGGACCCATGAGCCCGGACGGTGATGCTGGCTGCACAGGAAACCCACTCACAACCCTTCTGGCCCTTGGGAAAGAAGATGGCGGTGCGGAATGGCATGTATGTTCAGTGGCTGGTTATAAAGTCTATCATGGGTGCTAGAAATTGAAGCTAGGAATTTTGAAGTAATTATTTCAGATGAAAGTGTGACAAAAGAAATGTGTTTTTAAGTAATTGGTCTAAAATTATTAACCATACACATATTAATTATGCATAATAAATTATAACTATTCATTTAATATCAAATTAGCTAGTTCATTTTAATACTTAATTAGTTATGAATGAGTGGCTAATAATTCTATGTACTTAGAAGGCTTAATTCTAATTGTGAAAGTTTAGGTTTTTTGATTAACTTTCTTTGAATTTATAAATATTTTAAATAGCCATAGATTAAAACTGGTAGAAGTTACTCAAAGGCTACAAATTTTGTGTTTTAAAAATGCTAACTATTAAAAAATATTTTATTAAATTAAATATTTGAAGAAGGAGGAAACAAGAAACAAGACAGAAGCCTATCACAGAGGACCTCTGAAAGACTCTGCCCAGTAGTGTATCAAGGCAGATGCTGAGATTCTTAACCAAACTTTGGGTAGAGTGCAGGGAATCCTATGGAAGAAGGGGGAGATAGTGGGACCTGGAGAGGACAGGAACTCCACAAGGAGAGCAACAGAACTAAAATATCTGGGTACAGGGTTTTTTTCTGAGACTGATACTCCAACCAAGGACCATTCATGGATATAACCTAGAAGCCCTGCTCAGATGAAGCCCATGGCAGCTCAGTATCCAAGTGAGTACCGTAGTAGGGGAAACAGGGACTAAACTCAGTGGCTGGCTCTTTGACCAGCCCCCAACCCTGTGACGGGGGAGCAGCCTTGCTAGGCCACAGAGGAGGACAATGCAGCCAGTCCTGATGAGCTAGGGTCAGACGGAAGGGGAGGAGGACCTCCCCTGTCAGTGGACTTGGAGAGGGGAATAGGTGGAGATGAGGGAGGAATGGTGGGAATGGGAGGTGATGACAGAGGGAGATACAGCTAGGATACAAAGTGAATAAACTGTAATTAATATAAAAATAAAAATTTAATTTAAAAATTAAATATTTAATGGATCATAAATTATAGATTTATAATTAAAATTATAGCGGTTTTTTTACATTTGATTTTCAATATTTTTTATTTAAATAAATTCTTCCCTACCACTTACTAACTAATGGGCATGCTGAGGGATGCTGAGGCTTCAGAATGAACAAGAAGGGCTAGATTCTTGGCACATGATTTGCTTTTAAGTGAATCTTCAAATATACTTAAAAAAAATGACACAAAGTAGGGGGAAAAAAACAGACTTTGGAGAAACTTTAGTATTGTCTTATAGAAAGCTTATGCTGATAACAGAGCTTTCTTTTCTTTTTCCCTGTTTTGCTTGACTGGTTTGGTAGAACTTTGTTCTGTAACTTATCCTTTCCCAGTCCAAACTGCCTATGAGCACTCCTGAGTTCTCAGCCTCAAAAAAAAAAAAAAAAAAAAAAAAAAAAAAACCCACAAAGGCAGAATACTTAAAGTCTCATTAATTGAATCCAAACAGACAACAAAGATTTTTTAAAAACAATTTTTACTTTAACTTGGAAAGCAGGAAAGATAGATTATTTAATGGCAAACAAAATTCCAAAACTGTATGCCTGTCTCTGTATGCATATTTACTTAAACATTTTAGTAGTGGGTGTATACACATATACACTTGGAACTTTCAAAAGTGTACAGACATATTCATATATGTAGATACACACACATATATATTTCAAAAGTTGAATTCAGAACTAGGATAAGAGCCACCTGCACAGAGTAGAACTACACCCAGTACAATTTATCTTTCCACTACCTCTTCCAAAGTTTATTCTTTGTTTTTTGTAAGGATTACGGATTTTTTCAAGAAAAACAAATCCCAGTGGTAATGAATGTGTCACTCAATGAGAAGTAAAATCTCGAAAGTAGTCCTTTGTCTTATGTAGGTAGTATATGTCAGTCTTTTGTGCTTGCCACAAAATCATTTTTTATTCCTTGGGCTCACACCTTATCTTTCCCATTATAGTAAGTTTATATATACAGAAAATGTGTGTCCTGCCTGGTCTATCAGGCAGCCCCAGAGAAAGAGGACTGCATGGTTTGGAAGAAGTGATAGTCTCTCGGGGTTTAGCTACCTACAGGCAATATGAAAATGGCTGCAGACATTTCTTGTTTTTAGCTACTAGAATAGAAACTAACTACATGAAAGTATTCAAAACCATCATGAATGTCAATTTAATCAAAGTTTTACTTAGTATGTAAGAGTTTTAAATATGGTCGCTGACCTGGATTTGTCACATCCACATTTGACACATGCTGCCATCACTCATGCATATTTTATCCCCAATAGCTAGAACATTACCTTTGTGGTTACAATTTCCTAATATTCACTGATTGTTTCTAGGACTATGTCTCAAAGAGGCCATAAGACATGGGGTCTCTTACACGAAGACTGATTGTTCACTCATGTTCTTCTCTATTGAAGATGCTGCTTATTTGATATCTTGTGTTTTTATGCTTATTTTTGTTGTTTGACATAGAGTCTCACTATGTGGCTTACACTGGCCTTGAATTTCAGATCCTCCTTCCTCAACCTTTCCAAGACTAGAATTACAGTAGTGTGCCAACAAGCCTGGCAGGAGAGTCAGCATAATTTTTTTTTTTTAAATTTTAAAACTTGTGGACTAAAGTAAGTAGATAAGGGAAGAAGGGGGTGGAGGGTGGGACCGAAAGGAGAGGAGGGAGGGACTACAACTGGGATACAAAGAGAAGAAATTGTAAAAAACAAAACAAAACAAGACAAAAATCCTTCCAAACACAATGGCATGGTTAGAGCTCAGGAGAGGGTGGCTATTGACATTTCTTTGGTTTTGTTCCTTCTTTCCTTCTATGCCTCCTTCTTTACTAAGGAAAGGGAACATTTCATTGTTCCAAGTAATAATCATAGTATCACTTGATAGGAATGTCCTTGCCTTCAGATGTGATGATTGGAATTTGAGTAAGAAACTGAAGGTCTCTGGCACAGAGATGGGTAAAAATTAAGAGAAACATTTCACAGTATATACTTTTCCAGGATGAAAATGGCATTTCTATGTGTACGGATGAGGGAAGCCTTTTACACTAACCCTTGCTACTAGCCTAGGCTTCTCATTTAGTACTCCTGTGCTATTCTGTGCTTTACTATAAGAGCCTGTACACAACTTCTAGTGCTCAGGTCTTCCTTACAGACACACACACACACACACACACACACACACACACACACACACACAAACACGATTTTTTTTAACTTCCTCTCATTCAATCTCTGTCATTTGTCTGAATGATTTTAACTATCTCTGAAACACAAACTTGAGATTTCCTCCTTCAGGACTTTCCATGGTGATTCTCCATATAGATTTGGTACCTCAGTTAAAGAATTTCCACAGCACACAATACATTTTAAATATCTCCTTAACACTCTTCATTCCTTTAGGTTGTCACTATAGTGATGAAAACGTTATACCTTACTCATAGGCAAATTTCTGCCCAATGATAAGTAGTGGATTCTGCTGGCAAGTTAGGGAATGAATGAAGAATGAGTTCAGTCAACCTCCGTTCCATGTGCTCTATTGTTTACTGTTGTTTGCTTCTTCAATAGTGTTTGGACTCTGTGAGGGCAAGAACTTCACACTGTTGGCTGTTGTAGAAACACCTCTACTTTCTTGAAAGGTCTGACAATAAATATTGCTTGATAAGTATTTGGTAATTGGCATTTGAATAGTTTTGTGAATTTATTGACAAGTCATACCTGAGCAACTTAATAGAGTCTCTCAACCAACCTGACCAACTACTTTGCTTAGAATACAAAAGTAATGGGATTGCAGGTCAGTGTAATATATATGGAACTGGTTGTTTCTTATAATGCGACGAGAACCTCAAAGTTATACCATTTGTATCAACTCAGCATTCACACTTTCAGTTTATATATATTTAGGTTCCACTACAGACAGTACAAATGGAAAGAAGAGAACTAGAGTTTCAGTTGTTCCTAGTTTCATTTCTGTTGCTGTGATGAAATACCCTGACAAAAGCAAAGTTAGGGGAGAAATAGTTCGTTTTAGGTCACAACCCCAACTGTGAGGAAGCTCATATTGTTGGAACTTGAAGTAGTCAGTCATATCACATCCATAGTCAAGAGACGAGAACGAACAAATAAATACATATTAGTGATCAGCTGACTGTTTCCCTTCTTGCACAGTCCAGGGTCCAGCTCTTGAAATGGTACCTATATTTAGGGTGGGTCTTACTACCACAACTAATGCAATTAAAACAACATCCTTTAGAGACATGTCCATAGCCCATCTGATCTAGGCAGTGTTTCACTGAAAGGTGATGCTTGTGTCAAGCTGACAATCAAGACTATTATAAGTGTATAGGAAAAGAAGAAGAAAATAGAGGAGCAATAATTTTATTGTTTTAAATAAATATTTATTACCTTAGCACAATCAAAAAGAATTGCAAGATAATTATTTAAGTTGTTTATTTTCGGAAGTGAAATAAATATCTTTTTTATTGTCAAAAAAAGTGTATAGGAATAGAAAGAGCAAAGGAGAAGCACATAGTCTTTTGAAAAACTATATGCCTTTAAAAAAAAAACCCTTCCTCATCTACTGGTTACTTCTTAAACCATCTCTGTCAGGAAAAGGAAGCTTTTGGTGGGAAAGAAATGAAAATGCAAATAGGTTAGATTGAGGTTAGGACTATGGATCCAGAGTTCAGGAGTTCAACTTTGCCTCTGCCACTCACTAACTAGGTAGGTAATCTGGGACAGGGTGAGTAATTCTTTTTCCTTTGCTTTTCACCTCCCTGTGATGAGAACAAGTATAAGCTTCATCTTATGGGCTGCTGTGAAGCTTAAATGATTGGTATATGGCAAGCACTGGAGATGGTGCCTAGCCCATCTCCTGCACTCTACAAGTGTTTGGTACTGTTGCTGTTTAAGGTGTTTGTGAATACCGTTAA